CTATGGTTCTGTGCTATACTTTCAGGTCAGGTATTCTGATGCCCCCTGAATCATTTTTCTTGCTCAGTATGGATCTTGGTATTCTGAGCCTCTTTTTATTCCAAATTAATTGAAGAACTTTTTTTTTTAAAATTCTGGGATGAAAGTTATTGTCATTTGGACTGGGATTGCATTGAATCTTGGTAGCATGGCCACTGCACTTGGTAGTATGGCCATTTTGAGATATTAGTTCTGCCTATGAGAAAACATGGGAAGTTTCTCCATCTTCTACACTTTTCTTCAATGTCATTCTTCAGTGTTCTTCAATATCACGTAGAGCTCTTTTACTCCTTCAGTAGATTAGTTCTCATGACCTTTACTTTTATATTTATTTATTTTTTTGTGAATGGGATGACTTTGATGATATCTTTCTTGGCTGAATCACTGTTAGAGGATAGGAAAGCAATTGATTTATGGGGGTAGATCTTGTGTCCTTCTCCTTTGCTGAATTGATTTATATCACTGAAAATCATCTGATGGAGTTGTGGGCATTATGTCATTTCCAAGCAGATGRCTTGTTCTCTTCCTATTTGTATCCCTTAATTTCCATCTCTTGCCTGATTGCTCTGTCTAGTGTTTTAAGATCTATATTGCACAGGAGTGGGGAGAGTGGACAACATCGACTTTTTCTTTAGGTTAGAGAAAATGCATTTAAATTTTCTCCATTTGGTGTGATGTTAGTTGATGTTTGTCATTCACAGCTGTTATAATGCTGAGGTAAGATTCTTCCATCCTAAACTTCTCCAACATTTTAATCATGAATTGACATTCAAAAGATCTTTTCTTTACCTATTGAGATGTTCCTGTGATTCCTGTCCATAATTCTAAGTGGTGATCAATATTTATTGATTTTCGAATGTTGAACCAACCTAGCCTCCCTGTAATGAAGCCCACTAGGTCATGCTGTATTAGCACCTTGCTGTGTTTTTCATGCAGGTTGGTAATATTTCATTAAGTATTTTTGCATCTACGTCCATCAGTGATATTGGCCTAAAGTTCATTTCGTTTGTCTCAGTCTGGTTTTCACATAAAGATTCTACTAGCTTCAGAGAGTGCATTTGGGAGTGTTCCCTCCCTTTCAATTTCATGAAAAGTTAGAGAAGGACTGGTGTTAGTTTTTCTTTAAAGGTGTGGTAGAACTTAGCTGACGATGCATGTGGTCCTCATCTGTTCTTTGTTGGAAGCCTTTTTATTGCTGTTTGAATTTCATTCCTGACACTGCTCTGTTTAGGTTTTCTATATCTTTTGGGCTCAATCTGGGCAGGTCACATGTGTCTAGGGATTCATCAATGTCTTCTAGATTTCCTGTTTTGAGTTTGAATTTTGTCCATAGTGTCCAGACTTTCTCTGGATTTCAGAAGTGTTTCCACTGATGTTTGTCCTTTTTCATCTCTAATTTGATATATTTGGGTGTTTTCTCTCTTTCTGTGGTCATTTGGCTGAGGGATTTTTCAATCTTATTTAACTTTTTAAAGAACCAGCTCCTCCTGGCATTGATCCTCTGTGTTGTTTTTCATTCTCAGTTGCAATAATTTCTGTTCTGATCTTAATGATTCCCTATTCTCTACTCTTTCTGAAATCAGTTTATTCTTCCTATCCTAAGGCCTTGAGTTAGAGTATAACCTTATTTATTTGATATTTCTTTATTTCATTCAGGTAGGCACTCAATGATTTAGATTTTCCTATTAGAACTGCTTTCATAGTGTCCTAGAAATTTAGATATGTTGTGTCTCTGTTTGAATTTGCTTCTAAGGATTCTTCATTTCTACTTTCATTTCCTCTTTGATCCATTCTATATTTAAATACCTAATCAACACAGAAAAAAATCACAGTGAGGACAGGAGAGGTGACAGTTATGGAAATGACGTTAACCTGGGAACAAGTGGGTCAAAACAGAAGCAGCTGGCCGTGGTGTGTGGACATGGATGTTGTATGGGGACTTTGCTTTGCAGACAGATAAAATTACTGAAGGTGACACTTCCCATATACACAAGGGGAGTGATTGTGACCCAAAGGGCAATGGTATTAAAGGGGCTCAAAATTCACCAAGGTAGAAAAGATGCTTGCTCTGCATACTCAAATACAGAAGAACAAGGACAGCATCTTGACACTCCTCTGGATAAGTTTTTACCAAGGAACAGAACACTAACATTCGGTGTTTCTATGTTTCAAATTTTATTATTGTTTATGTTTCCCTATATGTTTAAATTGACATATAACTGATATTTTGAGTGTCTTTCATATTTTAACAAATCCTGAAAAGTTGGAAGAACCATGATTATTTTTCACGATCACAATGGAGATGTCTTCCCAGGGTTTTGGTTTCAGTTTTCATGGCCATTTTTACAATCCTGCTCTTCTATGGAGAGAGAAGACTGCATTTATCCAGGACAATCGTGTTGTTCATAAGTGCTAAGGAAGAAAGTCACTCATGTTAAGAAGAACATTAGGAGGACTCCTATGCATCCATTCCCAGGAGCCTGTATTTGCCCAAGGTGGGGCTACCTGGGCCCCCCAAATTATGAAGCAATAGCACACACCCTGTTCTGGCTGAGTTTCAGGCATAGGACACTTTGGTAAAGAGGAAGGAGAATAATTTTTCCTTATTTAACTAGAGCGAGTTTCATGTGAGTACCTCACCAAGGTTTGGGAGGAGGGGTATGCAGGGGAGGAGGCGTAGGCAGTAAAAAGATGGATGAGTGATTCTTGAGAGTGAGGACTTGGGGTGCTTTATGGCTAAGCCCAAGGCAATGGAGGAAAGCCATCCTGACGTGGTCAGGTGAGGCCTGTTTGTCACATCTGGGGAGGTGTCATGAGTTGCTTTCTAGAGGTAGGTCCCAGGGCCCTACTCAGGTCCATGAGTCCAGGCTCAGCCTTGGGGCATCAAGGATTGGGCAGAAGTGTAACAGGGGCCTGTGGGCTGGTGTCCTGGGAGGAGGCATTTGGAACAGTCTATAGAGGCTTCTGGGCAGCTCCTTCTCTCAGACTGAGCACCATGGAGCAGGGAGAAGGTGGCAGATACTGAGGGTCCCAGGTAGCAGGGAGTGATGATGGATCTGTGGGAACATGTCCACATTCAATTATCTATAAGCTTTTCATGACAATTTCCTGAGAGCAATGCTGTCCTCCTGTGGCTGTCCTGGGACACCTGTCTTGACTGACCCCAAGTCAGGACTCTTAGCTCAGCCTCTCCTGTTTCCTGACTCCTCTTCCCTCTCCCTGCAGAAGGCCACAATGAGAGTCAGAAGTGAGCACCCTGAGAGCAGCCCACCTAGGTCTTCTCAACATTGCTCTGTATGGTAGAGTCTTCCTGCACATGGAGGCCCAGCTGTTGACTATTGGACTAACCTAGAGGTGGCCTCCAGGGACACACCCAATCTGCTACAGTCTTTTTACCACCTGGGCCCATCATCTCTAGACCCCCTGGGATTCAGTGGACACACATTGATGACACTTGACCCCTTATCTCCTGCACACCCCACACACTACCTGGGACCTGGGACCCCACAGAAGTTTCCTGAGACCCTGAGGGTGCTGAGGGGTGTGTGCCTGGTTCTCTAGACCCACTGACTCTGCAGATGTGCACAGGTGGGCTGCACTCCCCCTGGCCCTGCCCCCTCTGCAGCAGTCTGGGTGCACCCTCCCTCCTGGGGACTTACAGTCAGGACTTCTGCTTCCTGTGGACACCGACTGCCAGTAGGATCTTGGAGCCAAAGAACAGGGTGATGAGTTATGAAGCAAGAGTAGACTTGACTGCTCTTGAAAATCAAGGGACAGTGGGAGCCATTAGGAGAACTTCTATGCATCTATTCCCAGGAGCCTGCACTTGCCACAGGTGAGGCTATCTGGCCCCCCCCCCAATTGTGAAGCAATAGCACACCCCCTGTCCTGGCTGCTGTAGTCAAGCCTGAGGCAGAACCTGGTCAAGGGGTTCCTTATTCCCACMCACCCAGTCCCAGGTCCCGGGTGTCCTCCCTAAGGGAAGGTGAAATTGTGTGCTCTGTGCCCACTGCCATCCCAGCCAGGATGTTTCTGTATTGATCCTCTGCGTCTCATGTAAGGGATCATCTCCTCCTGATAAGGACACTGAGGCCTGGGAGTTAGGGAGGTCACTGCTTAGAGGAATCCAAACCCAGAGAAGCTCCTCCATGGAGTCCTATATGGTGACACCTGAGATCATGGTTTTTGAACCCAACAAATGCCCAGTGTCTTCAGGCCCAGAACACTATTTTCAGTGGGGCATGCACATGGTGTGAGGGCCCTTCCCTGGTGAGGGGTGAGGGCAAGGTTGCTGGCTCAGGTCCATGGGTGAGCTGAGGGGCCCTGGGTCTCAGCACCTTGGGGAGCCTGCTAAGGAGGTGCTGGATGAACTAAGAAAACCACTGGCTGAAAAAGACTTTTGTGGGTCAAGAACATGTTTCTCCTATGTGGGAGGGGCCACAGTCTCCTAATAGCAGACCCCCCTCCAGTGGTCTGTCACCTGAAGTCTTTCTGTTGGACACACAAACCAGATCCAGGGAATTAGACCTGAGGAGTCTTTTTTTGGTGCCATTAGGCATTTATCCTTTTAAAATGATGCTAACAAAGATGGAAAAATATTTCCTAAAGAAAGTAATGCTGTTGGGTCCTTAGGCAGGAGGGGACACCTCACCCCGTGGGGCTGCTCTCTGCTGGGGGCCAATGTTCTCAGCTGAGTGCTGCTCTGGACTCCCCCTCAGTGGAGGAGAGCTGCANGCAGGCAGGTGAGGGGTGCAGATGCCCCCCATTTACCAGCCATGGAGCCTGGACCAAATAGCACGGCCTCCACAGGCCTCTGCCTCCCTGACCTGCAGAAGGGGTGACAGCAGGTCATGACATGAGCACCCAGTGCTGCTCCTGCTTCTCAGCTGTGGCCCCCAGGGTGGAGGGCGTGACCCCGACCTCCTGTCCCACCCCAGGGAGGAGGAGGCAGCTGCACTCACCTCGCACAGACAACTCAGTGCCTGGTCCAGACTTATACTCCTTAGTAGTGATCGATTTCTGGAACTTCACACAGTAGTAGGTGCCGGCGTCTGCTGAGGTGACATTACTGATGCGGATGGAAAAGTCCCTGTTGTCCCTCTTTGTGGCATCTGAGAGATTTGTGACTCGGGGGAAGTGGCCTTCTTTGAACTTGTAGATCAACTCCCGGCCTGGCCCTGCCCCCTTAAACCGCTTGATGGACCCCACAGGGTACAGGGAGGTCATACTGCAGTGCAGAGTGGCCGACTCTCCAGCAGAGACAGACACTGACTTCTCAGGCTGGATCACCTGCAGCTCCTGTGCAGCCGCTCCTGGGGGAGACACAGGGTGGTCACTGCTCATCCTGGGGATCCTCTTGGTTTATCATGTGGTATCAGCAAAGCCTGTCACTGACTGAGTGCCCACAGAGTGGCCTTGAGCTCAGCACAGGGCGTGTGTCCTCACACTGAGCCTCCCCTGGCCTGCACCTCCACACTGGGAGACACCTGCCCCTGAGGCCCAGAGCCCCGAGCAAGGTGGAGGGAGGGGACATGAGGGCCTGAGCCCTCCCCTGAGCTCTCATGTGTCATCATCTATTTATTGCTCTTCCTTTTCTGACCACCAGGTCACTGGCCCTTCATGGACCATGAAATTGTGTGGGGTCCTGTGGCTCTTGGGTCTCCTGAGTTTTGGGGAAGTATGAATACACTAGTGGGAAATGCATTTGACTGTGAGTCTTGGCTCAGCTTCCCTCTTCCACAGAGTTTCCAGCTCATGATGGGGTTTCCTCAGCCTGGAGTGATCATGGTGCATTCAGCAATGAATGTGCAGCTCAAGTAAGAAATGGAACATTGCTGAAGCCCCACACATATCTCCCCACAGTACAACCACCTTGTGTAAGTTTCTAATGCTGCTGTGACAAAGGACTGCACACCTAGTGCCTACAGCAACAGAAATCTATCAGGTTATGGTCGTGAACATCAGAAGACAAATTTGCTGTCACTGGGCCTCCACCCAGGGCTCCTCATGAGAGCTGTTTCCTTAGGAGGCTGTTCCCTGCTCTCCACACCCAGGGGGCTGCCTGGGCTGCTTCCCCTTGTTTCCCATCCTCCTGTTCCTCCTCCCTCTTGCCTCCCCATCCCATGTCCTTCCCTAGCTCTTACCCTCCTCCTCCTCTTCAGGACCCTAGTGACCTATTGGGCCCCACCTGAAAAGAGACCAGCACTGTGAAGCAGCTGTCTCCAACATGCTCCAGGAAAACTGGGATGAAGTAGAAAAGGAAACGTGGAATGTGATCAGCAAATTGAAAACATCAACAAAGAGAGAGAAAGTATATAAAAATATCAAACAGAAATTTGGGAGTTGATAAGCTCAATTAACTCAGAAGTTCACTGGATTCCACAACAGGTTTGATCAGGCAGTTGGAAAAAAAATCATAAAATGTATATCAGAATTTATTGACATTGCTGACTCTGCAATTAAGAAAAACAAAAACAAAAACAAAACACAGAATCTTAAAAAGAACCTAAAGTCCATTCAGGATATCAGAAAGAACATTGGCAAACATATATGAGTCTCAGAGATACAAGAAAGAAAAAAATTTAAAAAGTTTATTTGAAAGAGAAATGACCTCCACAATCTTGAATATGATCAAGTATATGAATTTTCTAATCCAAGATACTGAACAAACTCCAAGAACCATCAACATGAGCAGACCCACACTGAGGCCACTGGAAACCAATCTGCCAAAGCTAAAGTAAAAGAGAAAATACAGAAGCAGAAAGAGAGACATGTTCACCAGACACAGGAGGGCTTCCTAAGGTTTTTATCAAGTTCTTAATGATGGGAATCAGAGGCAGTAAGATGACTGATCTAAAGTGTTGAATAAAAAAAGGTACCAAGAATTCTATATCTGGCACAACTGTCCTTCCAACATAAATGAAGATATTTCCAGATAAGAAAACTGAGTAGGGCACTACCTCTAGAAATGTCCTGCAGGACATTCKAAGGGAGGCCATTTGCTTGAAATGAAAGTATTGTAGATAATAAGGACAAGATGTACCAAAAAATAAATATCTTATAAATGTTTTAAATTTCCTAGTGCCTCAGTTTCCCCACAGATAGATGTGAACACTTCATTCAGCCAACAAGTACATCAATGAGATAAGCCATTCTCAACCATGAGTTCCCTTGTGGCTCTCCCTGGTCTGGGGTCTAGTGGCATTCACATGCCTGTGAAATCCCTCATGATATTGGCTTGTGTGCTCTGCAGGGACCCCAACAAGGAACCCAGGGCTTCTCTCTAGAAACTGTGCTCCTGAAAAATCCTTAATTTCTAGTGTTTTTCCAGGAGCAGTTCCCACAGCCCTGTTGGCAAGGTCCTTAGGTGGCTCATCAGTGGGATTAACCCTCCCATTGACCACACAGTGGAGATGAGGGAGGGAAGTTCTAAAGTCAGGGGCAAAGTCCTTCGGATATGGCCTCTGACTGTTCATGCCTTACTATCTGACTGTCCCCAATGGCTCCACCATGTTGCATAGCTCTCTGGCCTGCTGGCTGTCTTGTGCCTGCTTTGTGAAGCTCTCTGTTGCTTTTCCAGAGAGCTTATAATGCTCTCCACTTTCGAGTACTGCTCCCATCCCAACCCCAAGCATGAACACTGAGAAACCAGTTCCTAGACTTGACCCCAGCTGCAGCATCCTACCATTGGAATCTGGAACACCAGACCATGTGAATTGGCTATTTACTAGTGAACTTGTGTGGGAATATGATTTGAGGTAGGAGTTCTGCTAGTGGGTGTGCAGGGAGGTATTAGCAGCATTAGGGAGTGAATTTGATCATGTTATGTTATATGCATGTATAAATATGCCACAGGGAAACCCATTATTTTGTAAAATTCATATGTGCTCCACCATCCAAAAATACAAAATAGTAAAAAAGAAAGAGGAAAAAAGCCCCCTGGAATTTTCCCAGATGCCTTTCTAGGCAGAGGAGGGGGTACTCCCCTTTGTAAAGCAATGATGAGGGAAGTTCCAAACTATGTCAGTGTCATAGCTGCTATGAAGATTAACTTTAGAGGGGATCCAAGATGGCAGGCTAGAGAGAGGCAGCATTCTGTGTTGCTCTCTCACCTGGGACTCAAGTAGTGAGAGTACTGTTTCTCTGAGAGTGATATTCCTGCTCGCTCACAGGAATAATGGCCACTGTGCATATGCAGGTCTCCAGGCCTCAATGTCAGAGTAGGTCTCCCAACAACTTGCCTGCAGGACTACTGGGTGCCCAAGTGGGACCATCAGCATCAGCACCAGTGCAGAACTTATGGCCACCCATCTGAGCAGAAATCTAGGATGCTGCTCCCATGCAGGACTCCTGGTAGCTCCCCATGTACAGGAACTCTGGCCACCACTCCTGTGTGGTCCCCCATTTACCAACATGGGGCTCTCCTGGTTTCCTCCATCTTGGGACTTCACAGCAATGGAGATAGTCCCCTAAATGGTAGCCTGCCTGCATCTGGGGACTTCACAGAAGCACTGAAGACAGCCAGTTCATTTCTGAACACATTGCCCAATTCCACTGCCTGGCTCCCCCAATCTGACTCAACACCTCATTGCTGAAAGCAGCTGCATCCATCTTGGGTCACCTCATCACCATCTCTAGTGGGGGAAACTCCCAGTTTGGAACTCTGGATGGCCAGGTGCTTGGCCCATGAGTTGGGATACAACCTATGTTGCCTATGTAGGGTCTCTCAGGGTTCAGCACACTGAACCCAGATACCGTGATTAGCACTTTAACTGCACTCAGCCCCATCATCATGGGAATCTGGCCTCCTACAGATGCACAGCATGTCCCTTTCCTTCTGCTTTTCTGCCATTGACTTTTGAGCCCATTAGTTGCCACTCATAAGCGTGTTGCTAGCTTTTTGGTCATTTGACCCTCAGATGAATCTTCCAAGTCACAGACTATGCATAAAAACTTTCTTCTGCAATAACAAAAGGAATTGAGTTATCTGAAACTGATCTCTGGAGGTCTCTTTTTGACTCCGTTACCACACCCTCCTCAGCTGTTTGGTGGACTTCAGCTGGATGTAGTAACCCACATCCAGGTACCCAGTTTCTACCCTTCCTCCCCAACAGCTGCTAGCCTGGGACAGTGACTGCTCAACACAAAACAGCTCTTAGCAGCAGATGCACAATGTTCCCAAAATGCCCCAAACAAGACCCCCAGAGAGAAAAGTCCCTTATTAGGAACTAGTAAGGGAGAGGGTGAGTGAGATAGAGTTTAGAGACTCACATAGAGACCAGGAACTGGGAGGTCTTCAGGAGAGATAAGGGGATAAGCCCAGGTGCTCACACCACAGGAGTAGGCACAAAAAGAGAACCTTGAGGTGTACTTTCCCTTTGGGGACCAGTGGGTGCCACACCCCACTCCCTGGTACCCTCCACCCAGGACCAACCCTCCCTCCCTGGTTTCCTTCACTATCCTGAGGGTGGAGATGCCAGCTAACAATAGACGACTCCACCCATTGGATGAAAAAGGAAGCAGGAAAGATCCTGATCTTCAACCAAAACATTCCTGATTTCTTCCTTGGAGATTATTATTTTTTCCTTTTTCTTCTCCCTCTCTATTCTCCCACCCTCACATSCCCAACATATGTGAAACCAAGTACTTTGCATGAGTTAGGATTTTGAGGACTGGGACGACTGAATAGTATATTACGGTTGTGTTGTATATTCTTTTTTCCCTCCTATTTTTACTATTTTAACTTTTTAAATTTTTCTTAATACATATGTGTGTTTGTTTTACGTACTCTTCTGTCTTCCCTCTCACTTGTCTACCCCAAATTACTTCCTCTCTATTCTGCTACTAACCTTCTTCTTTAGATTTCTCTTTCACATTTCTTAAGATATAATAACTCTATATCCTCACCTCCTACCTCCTCAGAATATCAATCTACAACTCACCCCCAGTTCTTTGTTCATTGTTAGAAACTGAAATGCTTTTACAATTCTACAGATTATATTGTAGATAATAAAGGAATTCAACATCGATGTATATTGTGGCCAAACTGTAAACGTCTTAATAGAATCTATTTGTTTTTAGACTGTATATTGTTTATATTGGGATCTGTTAATTTTGCCTTTTGCCTCACAGGAGAGGTATTGGGACCCTATAGGGRCACTATAATCCTATAGGGTTAAAATGGTAACACCTTGGATCTGCAGAACTAGAAGGGAAGACACACAAACAACATGAAAAGACAAGGGAAGAAAGAGCCCCAAACAAACCAAGATACCACATTATTACAGTCCATGGCCAGAAGAGCATAAGAAAG